GGAAAGAAGCTGGATTCATTGCTAGGAGACATTTGCTGGAATTTACAGCAAAAGATGTACGACGTTGATGAGGATTAAGCACAAGAATACCATAATCCAATTTGATATTTTATACGATTTAATAAATTTAAGGTAGAAAAAAGCAAAATTATGCAATGCATTAAATTTTGAGGGCTTAATTTGGATAAAGAATACTGAAACTTGTTTACTTTGTTGCCCTTTCAATTTAATAATAATAAATATAAGCCTAAATAATTTAATAAATAATTAAAATACCAACAAAAAACTTAAATTTGAAGAGAGAAAAACTAAGGACATTTTTTAAATAAACGGCCCAAAATTAGTTAAACTAAGCTGGACTACTTAATGTTAGGAAAAAAAAGTTTGTAAAACTATCATAGCGTAATGAATAAACATACACTTTTCTAAAATGGTATCAGGATTCCTATTATGAACTTCCTCAAAAGTACATCCAGGTTGCGGTGAGATTCCTTGGTTAGGCCAAAAATCAACGTGGCCTACTTGTCTAGGGTACCCAAATATCCCAGCATCCGTGTGTATGACATCCACAAATTCGGCATCGCCTGGGTCAAGCTTCAAAGATTTGGGCCACTTTGTAAACAAAGGTCCTGCTGGATCCAGCCCTATTTTTAGTACAAGAAAGTTTTTTTGCAAAAATGATAGAGGTAAAGCTATACACGGTGCTGTTCTGAGAGGTGATTTTTGGACTTTCTGTGAAACCTAATTTTTTTTTTATATTCTTGTTAATTAGGTCATAACCAAAATTTTAAGAGCAAAATAAAAAAAAATTGACGGTTTGAATTGTTTTAATTGGCTGTTTATTAAAAATATTATGCACTCTTTCAATTATCCAATTAAAACTAGCGATTTAATTTAAATATTTAATATTTGCATAACTAAAAAAAGGTTTTTACAATTTTTTTTATATATTTTACTGTTTTGTTGCAATAAACGTTCAAACTTTTAATCTAACCTTTGACGTATACATTTATGTTATAAACAAAAATGAAAAATTGTAGTAAAAGTTACGAAGAAATTCATGAAATTTAACCAAGGACCGGTTTATTCATCTTTAGTAAAGTTTATCGGCCGATAACTTTCATGTCTTGGCAATATCTAGTATCCAAAGAAATTATTCGTCAAATAAATCAAAAATGAATAAATCGGCCCTAAATAAAATGTGGCACCCTTAGAATTATTGTTTAATAAATGTATACTATACATTTAACCTTAAATTAAAACTTTAAACGTGTATTACAACAAGACAGTAAAAGATATAAAAAATGTATGGACCTTTTTTTAGGAAATTAACTAATCTTTAATCTGATTTAAAAAGTTATGATAATATTTAAATAAAATCGCAAGTTTTAATTGGAGAATTGAAAGTGTGCATACATATTTTTAATAAACAGCCAATTAAAACAATTCAAACCGTCGAATTTTTTTTATTTTGCTCTTAAAATTTTAGTTATGAGCTAATTAACAAGAATATAAAAAAAATTAGGTTTCACAGAAAGTCCAAAAATCACCTCTCAGAACAGCACCGTGTATAAGAACTATCATACCTGTTATTCTCGATATTCTTCCACTTCTAATGGATTGTCCGCAAACTCCGGCCATTTGAGCCCCTAAACTCAAGCCAATCAAATGAAGGCTCGGAAGATAGAGACCTTTGGTAACCAACCAATCAATGAACTTGGCAGTGTATTCTCCCACCACCATGGTATTCTTCGAAGCTGTTCCGTACCAAGGACCAGCTTCTAGTCTCTGCGCGTTCAGGAGGATTATGTTGTGGTCTTTTCGCTGAAGGTATGCTGAAAATTTTGTTTAAAGATAATATTCTTATATACGTACTATAAGTAGGGATGGGATTTTAGTTATTTTACCTTTTTTCAACCGATGTAACTATTTAAAAACCAATAATGCCAAAATGTGTTTTAAAAGATTTTCTTTTATATGAACCTAACTTGTTTTCACCTTTTTTACCTTTTTTGGAGGTTTTTACTTTAAACTACCTTTTTATACTTTTGTTACATATTTTTTAATTTGTCAGTTTATTTTCACCCATTTGTTACCTATTTTTACTTATTTTATTTTTTTGTGTTTTTTTTTTAAATTTTGCGCCTATTTTATCCAGGGCGTGCAACTCAACGGTATAGAATTTTTTCTTATGGTCACAGACTGTAACAGTAACTTTCTTTACAGTTACCTTCTTTGTAGTGAGCTTATGTTCTGTCATAGAACTTCTATGTAGTGAGTGTCTTAACCTAAAACGCTTTTTTAGTACCTTTTTAGTTACCTATTTTTCAGTTTTTAGTACCTACATAACCCATCTTTACTTATAAGTCGCCACTGCAATATGTGTATATGGGTGAATATATTGAGATGTGAATATCAGATTTTTAAAACATCCCTTTGTATATTTGAAATATGTTATTGTATCTTTTGACACCTTAATATTTTTTAAAAATACAATTGTACCTATATAAAATATTATATAAATATAAATAAAAATAATAATTAAAAATAAAATATTTATAAAAAAATCTACTGAGATATTACACTTCACTGTGGATAGGTTTTTAAATAGCAAATTAATGAACTTAAGCTTTTGAATTATACATTGTACATCTGCATATAAATTCTAACTGACCTTCAGGAATCACATGCATCTATAATGTCGTAAAAAGAGGTTTTTGTTTATTTAAAATGATTAAAGCGCCATCCGTTGCATAAAATTTAAAGCAAAAACAGATTCACGGAGAATAGAATCAATTTTTGTAACACCTACATAAATGGTTATGAAAATTATTTCTTTTAATTTTTAATAATATTTTATATTTGATTCGATTGCTTTGGATGTGTTTAATTTACTTAGTGATATTTTTAGTATGGTTTTACTACCTCAGATATTTGAAAACATATACATAGGTTAACCTAGAAAGAGTAACAGTCACGGAGGATAGGTTTTAGACTTTTAAAACGTTATAAAAAATAATTAATTGCGGTTAAAAATGTAGAACCTGAGCTGTAATATCAACTTAATTATGAAAGATCAAAACACAATAAAAGTGTACCCATATGTAATAATAATCGCGAAAAGTGATTAGTAAAATTTGCATGCTTCCAAAACGCATCAACAACAATTATACTAAATTAAAACTTTCACTTTCCATCGAACGCGGAAGTTTTTTCAATAACCTATGACAACATAATTAAATAAATTTGTATCTCGTGACCACAATCGACGTATTACCGCATTTGCCTTAGGCAGCTATAAACAGACGGCAATCAGTGAAAGCCACTGACATTGACCTAGCTCCAAACCAAATTTACGGTCCATCCAATTTATTTTTGTTTACAAGCCCTATTCTGTCTAGCAACCTTATTTATCGAGTTTTGAATAAATTATTACAACATATAAATATTAAGTTTTTTAAATTAACGTTAATTATTACTTTTTAACAATAGCACCTTTTTAAGTAAAAGGCTTTGTAATTATTTTAACACCTGTGTTCGGTTGAACACTCCAGTTTGTAGTAAACTGCTTGACTGTACGGTGAAATGAAGTACGTGATCGAATTTTTTCCGGAAAACGCTGAGCGTAGATATTAACAGCATCATCAAAATTCCTGCCTGCTTCTCCATAAATAATAATATACTATTAACAGACATTAGAACAAGTATAACATGGTGTATTATGGACATTACCGATATAAATATAAATAAAACACATTAAAATTTTAGTTAATTGAAGTGTTTTACTTATATTTATATCTGTAATGTCCATAATACAACATGTTATACTTGTTCTAATGTCTGTTAATAGTATATTTTTTAATATTGACCTAAACCCTGAAGATGCCGTAAGGCGAAACCGGTCGGTTATTAAAATAAAATAAAAAATTTACAGCAGGAATGCCTAATTTAATTTTATTTACAATATTAAAATCCCACTGCTAAAATGGATTATACAATTAAACGTATTATTTATAACTAAATACCATTTTTATACCTCAAATAGGATTAAATTAATTAATTGACAAATTAATGTTTTTTTTTACCTTAATAATCCTTTAAATTAAAGGATTTAATGCTGGCAGCTAAAAAGTGACCATGGTACGCAATTGAATGAAATAATGTATAAAACTTAAACCAAAGGAAACTTAAATAATAGTTAACAAATCGTGGGTACTTAAAAAAATCAGATTTAATTTAATAAGATAATTATTACCAAAAAAAGTGATATTTTTATGGAAAAATTATTGCAGAATCGTATACAAGAAAAATCGAGCAAAATTGATTTTTTTTCACAGCGTCATCTATTACACATATGAAAAAATATTTTAGACAAAATCTATCTATTTTTAGTAGAATGATCCGAATAATATTCGGAATATACAATAAAAAATAAGTATTTAGTAAATAACAAATATTTTGTAGATTTAATAAAGAAATCCTGTCAATAATTCAATCATGGTTGTAAACTTAACATAACTTTTGTGAACCTGGATTAAAATAAAATCTGATTAATATTTTGTTAAAATTAACTAATATTTTTTACTGTGTTAACATTCGGAAAAATATTTTCATACAAATAATATTATCCAATGATATGATCCTTATTTTGCACCATAACATCAATAATTCTTTTTAAACAAATAGTTAAAATAAAATATATGATATATAATATTGTAAAGTAAATAGGGCTTCATATAAAATTTAAAGTTTAAATATTTGCAAATGATGTATAAATAAATTAATGATGTAGATATAATAATATATACACCATTAAAAATAAAAAGGTGTACCTATTAAAATTTAAATAAATATAAAAGTTTTTTCATTTTAAATTCACAAATTTACAAATAAATTTTATAAATGTCCAAATCTACACTCTACCTTTCAATAATCGAAACCCTTGAATTGGAATATTTCCAATACAATTTATTTTATCAAAAACAAGTTTTTTCATTTACTTACCAGTTTTTATAGTAGTTGCTGGAGTGGCTTGATACGACTCGAAAAAAGCATGAAAAAATAAAACTGTTGGTTCTGAAAAATTAAAATGTGACTCTTCCAAAAGTCTATCATCTCCGATTCTTAATGGGGACGGTTGTAAAGGATTGTGCCTAAAAATAAATTGTATTAGACATACAATAAAGTTTCACATTTCTAGTGCACAAAGCCCAGTTAAGATATGGTGGCACTAAAGAAAGTTATACCCAATAAATAAAGTAAAATTACCATTTATTTTTGATAAATTCAGGAAAAGGTTGTAAGTCGAAAACCTAAATAAATATTTTTCCTAATTACTTATGTTTCCAAGACTACCATAGTAAAAGTTATATTTAAAAAACTGATATGATAAGTAACACTTTATCACCCTGTATCTTTTAAACATACGTCATTAGGAAAAATATTTATTTAGATTTTCGTCTTATTTTGACTTGCTTAATCTGCTCCTAAATTTATGCCACTAAGTTTAGGGACACCTTGTATATTTGAACTTAGTTTTTGATATACAGAGTGTAATTTAAATGTTGAATACACTTTTTAATCTTAGCCATGCTTTGTGCATTTGATCAATATAGGTTCTAAATAGTTTCTTAATCTTAACTATATTATAGCTACAAATCTTATTATAATCTGTGGGAGTGTATAGTAGCCTGACTAAAAGCCTAATAAATGTTTGTTTGAAAATTTACAATCATGTTTGATATATCATACAGGTTATCAGGTCTGTATTTAATCAATATTATGGACTTTTTTAAATCCAGAAATAAGATTTCAACATGTCTTGTTATATTTTGTTCAAAATTATTATTAAAAAAAAAAATAATATAAACAATACCTAGTATATAGTTGGTATGCTATATCCCGAACTGGATCAACCTTATGACATTTTTGTTTGCTGATAGGAAGAAGTTGGACATAGGCATCTTCGATTCTAACCCCAGGTGGACCTATCAAAATAATAACACGTACTGTAATATAATAACATTATTTTTGCAGACACATTCAACCAGTTGAAGTAGAGAACTCTAGTTTAAAAAATATTTTTTTAAATTGCCACACGCTTGAATAAATTATTTAGGTATTTAATGTGCATTTTAGTTAATTAATCAAACATGCCTAAACAGTTCTACTTCAATAATGTGAAATATGAAAGTTGGTGTGTTGCAAAATGTTTTTTTATCTGTCAAATGCATATTGGCAATTAAATTTAACAATTTATTATATTTACAAGCGCGTGCGGTTTTTTCACCTTGCTTAATATTTAGTTTTGTATTGCCCGATTTTGTAAAATAAGCTTTTATAATATATATATATATATATATATATATATATATTTATATATATATATATATATATATATATGAATTATAAATTTCTGATTTTTTAGGACTTTATATAATTATGTAGGTTATATTTATTAACCTTTACTTTACGGTAAACTTTATCAGCATTTTAAAATGTAAATTAAAGAGATAACAAAATTGTAAATGTTAAATTAAAGGTATAGAAAGAGAGAACAAACATGAGGTAATATCAACGTTATTTTTACGTAAATATGTGGAATTGATTTGTTATTACGTGGTAAAAATAACTATTAAACGATTCCCCATATTTGGTATTTCCTATTGTACCGTTTTTGTTTACTATAAAAATAATTTATACGAGGTGTCCCTGAAATGCACCAAGTATCACAACTGGTAAATTAACTAAAATCCAAACAAAATACGTTTTTTTACCAATTATTTGTGTTCCACTATTAACTATAAACTAAAAAATAACCCTATAAATTTTCCAACCGGTATAATTAAAGTATAATTTAACTAATAAAGAAACATATTGGTAATATTACTAACTAGTAAAATAAACTATTAAAATAACCTAAATTAAATAAACCAAATATTTAACTAGTAATATTACCTATAAGTCAAAAATTAGTTTATTTACATAACGTTATATGGTTATGGTTTATAGTTATTGGACAGTTAACATTTATACTGTAAAAAAGAGTTTTATAAATAGTTACTTTAAAGTCAAATAATTAGATGACGCTGTAAGAATTTTGTTTTTTTGTTAAGAGCAGGGCTGTGTTTAAATTACAATAAAAAATATTTCTAAAAAGTGTACAGATCAGTGTGTGGTATAAATGGTTTAAACGTTGTCACTTTAATGCGTTTTAATTTTAATTCTGAAAACAAACAGTAAAATGGCCAGTGTCCAATTACTGGTTGGTAAAAAATGCAAATTTCTATTATTGGACAAATGTCCTATAACTGTATTTCGTACATCATCATTTTTATTGTATTAATAGTTAAATAAAGAATAGTGTTATTTAATTTTCTTAATAAAGAATCTTTGATTTGGTTTGAATAGTTATTGGACAGGTGTCCAATAACTGTTTTTTTTATTGTCCAATAACTCTAATTTATTTTAACAGTATTCCTGTTTGTGGAGGGTCATAAGTCCTAGTTAAGTTACGAAGTAAGTGTGTTGAGTTAAAAATTAAGGTCATCTCTATCCAAGCGCCACAAGAATTCTTCAACCGGCCGATGTATCGGTTTTTAGACCATTAAAAAAGGCATGGCGACAGGGAGTTCGTCAATGTATTGAATAAAGTAACGTTTGCACCACTTCTCGAAAAAATATTGGATATATAAATCCGGCCTAAATATTATAAATGCTTCAAAAACTAGAGACTATTTTAGAAGTCCGACCAAGGAATTAGTAGTAAGGGAAAGAAAAACTCAGAGATTTCCATTTGCCAACACTTCTAGAGAATATCAAGAAATGCATAAAAGAAAACGTTTGCTAAAAGAAAAAGACAAGCAAGAGGATGAATGAAAAAGAAAACGCAGGATATAGTTAAAAAATGCAAACAAAAAGAAAACAAACCTACCTGTGGTCCTAAGAAACATCAAGAACATATATCGGAAGAATCATGTTACAAAGAGAGTAATTATAATGATAATTCTAATGGAAGTGAATAATTTACTGATGCAGAACTGAATTAGGAATCCGAGAAAGAAATACATAAATTATATGATACTTACAAAAACGATGCAAAACGAGATGAGGAATCCGAGAATAAAAATATATGAATTATATGATATTTACAAAAACGAAATAAAAAAATTACCTAAAATAGCAATTTATCTTTAAAAAATATTTGACATTTAATGTCATTTTATGTAAAGTTGTTATATTACTATCCTTTTTATATATTTATAAGAAAAAAAATAAAATTTTTAAAACAACGGCATATATATAAATATATAAATTTTAAATAAATAATATTCCTTAAATGTCCAATAACTATATGGTTTACCCTATTTTGGTTTAGTTAGACTTTTGATATTACTTTTTGGTAAATTTACCACAGCTTTGGTTTATTTGGATATATTTTTTTAACCAACAAGTTATATTGTACCAAATATATTTTAATTCGCTGATAAATCTCTATAGTTTCTAAGTTTTGTGTGATAATTGAGCCTAAAAAAATAATTTAAAAAATATAGACCAATAAATTTTATATAAAATTTTCCACTAAATAGTATTGATTTAATATTGGTTAATATACAAAAAAAAGTGTCAAGAGTATAAACTTTTTCGGTAAAATATAATTTCGTCTAATAAATAAAATAATATTACATGCCCCTTTATAGGTACCACCACTAACACAGAATAATAATAATTAATTTAAGTGTGCCAAAAAATCGCCTATAAACAAAAATCACGTAACAACACAATTATATAATCAACCGCTTGCTAGATGACCGAGAAAAATCGCAATTGGACCGACCGCAGTGAAAGTGCAAAAGAGATTTTTAATGTTACTTCCTACGAAACATGCACCTAGAGGTATACTTACCCGGCAAAGAGCTTATGAGGCACACAAACAAAAAATCAGAGACACCCATGATCACCGAATTCCAAATACTTAGTAACTAAGTGACCCGAGCTCGGTGGCCGTTTCGCAGCCAAGTAGGGATGATTGCCACGAAAAAATCTTTTAGTCTACACTTGTTACACGAGTGAGTGAACTGTGGTGTGGTTTAATTTTATTACTTTTGCGGAAGAAAACCTTGGTCTTAATTTTAACTAATTTTACCAATTATGATTAGATCCACCTATCATATGCAAATTTATTTCAGGAAATTGGATATTTCAATTTAAAAATGATATGCAACTAAAAGAAAAGTCCCAAGAAGTATATAACGGTGCTGTTCTGAGAGGTGATTTTTGGACTTTCTGTGAAACCTAATTTTTTTTATATTCCTGTTAATTAAGTCATAACTAAAATTTTAAGAGCAAAATAAAAAAAATTTGACGGTTTGAATTGTTTTAATTGGCTCTTTATTAAAAATATTATGCACTCTTTCAATTATCCAATTAAAACTTGCGATTTAATTTAAATATTTAATATTTGCATAACTAAAAAAAAGGTTTTTACAATTTTTTTTATATATTTTACTGTTTTGTTGCAATAAACGTTCAAACTTTTAATCTAACCTTTGACGTATACATTTATGTTCCCTTAATTAATATATCCTTAAAGGTTGGCATGAAACTTAGATCTATTAAAAATGTATTTGATGTTTGAATTGTCATTTTCAGTATACGTATTCTGTAATTTTTGTTTAGTTTTTTAAAGTGTTTTTTATAAACAAAAATGAAAAATTGTAGTAAAAGTTACGAAGAAATTCATGAAATTTAACTAAGGACCGGTTTATTCATCTTTAGTAAAGTTTATCGGGCCGATAACTTTCATGTCTTGGCAATATCTAGTATCCAAAGAAATTATTCGTCAAATAAATCAAAAATGAATAAATCGGCCCTAAATAAAATTTGGCACCCTTAGAAATATTGTTTAATAAATGTATACTATACATTTAACCTTAAATTAAAACTTTAAACGTGTATTACAACAAAACAGTAAAAGATATAAAAAATGTATAGACCTTTTTTTAGGAAATTAACTAATCTTTAATCTGATTTAAAAAGTTATGATAATATTTAAATAAACTCGCAAGTTTTAATTGGAGAATTGAAAGTGTGCATACATCCAATTAAAACAAAATTAACCGTCAATTTTTTTTTATTTTGCTCTTAAAATTT